ACAGCTTCAGACTTTCTGAGCCCAGCTTGTGTGTAAAACACTTTGCTGCACCTGCACAGGAAGGAGTGAATTTGTATGTACTGTGTCACTCCTCGTATCCTACATGTACACAGTAGGGGGTCAAGATCTGCAGAGGCAGCCGTGTCAGGCCACTACTGCAACAGAGTGCATTATATAAAGGGCACAACAAGAAGAATAAACCGAGAAGTGCCTAGAGCACGATTTGATCCTGGATCCTCCTGACTCAGAATGAGCTGTGAGCTCTGCTGCAGCAGGCCAGCCACAGATACAGATTAAGAGATTCACTCAGGGTGCAGTGGTGCTAAGTGCACTGGGTTGAGTCATTTACAACCAGCACATGGGAACCAGGGGTCGACCTTACTTGTGACTTATTTGCTTTAAAAAAAATGTTTTTAAAAATGTGCCGGTTCTGCATGGTTTTCTAGAAGTTTTGTTTGTGTTACCTGCTTGGGAGAACTGGTGAAACAGCATCTTGAATTGCGTTTTTGTCTCTTTTTCTTTTGTTTCATGCCCCACAATACGTTTTTGGTGTAGATATGCACAATATATTTATGTCAAGCTAAGCCTGTCAGTGTACCAGGCGGGAAGTTATAAAGTAGCAAAAGATAAAAGCTGTTTTCCATGTATATCTGAGTTTTGTCCTAATCAGTCGCAGCAAAGGGCAGGATGTTTTGTCAGTCGCTAAGTTCCTGTATTTATAATATTGCATCCTACAGTGAAATCTAACTGGTCTAAAATTCTGCTCTTAACAGCTATACATAAAACATCAAATAGCTTCTAATTGGCTGTGATTGTGTCACATAACAGTAGTGTGTTTAGAGAACCTACTGTGTGGACAATAATATTGCTTGTTGTTTCGGTCACACCTGGTTAGAACACAGTATGAGTGTGTGTGTGTATGTTGTTGGATTTGAATGTATTCTTAATCGTAATTTTAGATAACTTTCAAACATATTTTGTCATTTCACAAGCCTGAACCGAAATCCATTTACATCAGAGTGCAAAAATGTGTTTTGTAAGGACATGTTTGTTGTAATGAACTTCCATTTACATGCAGTACCAATAACAGAACAAGTGTTTCGATTATATCAGAGATTTGAAGGCTGTGTCAACATTACAAAATCTTGTTTTCACTCATAGGCATCATTTACGGTGGTGCCACTTTTTTAAATATATATTTTACTCCACCATCATGCCATCAGCTCCAGGTGATTGTATTTCAATTAGGGATGTAACGATTCACTCAACTCACGATTCAATTCGATTCACAATTTATTTATTTTTTACAAAATGAGATTTAAGACAAATTATAAATTAAATGTGTTTTTTTTTTTATTGCTTGGACAAAATACTGTACGTTTCTTTGTGAATATGAAATATAACACTATAATAATATACAGTACTAATATAGCACTTGCATATTATTGCTCTTTTGTTGATTTTGATTGCTTCTATTGTCCTCATTTGTAAGTCACTTTGGATAAAAGCATCTGCTAAATAACAAAATTTAAATATAATGTAAAATGTAAATAACAAAACTAAAGTGAAATTCTAAAACAGCCCCTAATCAAATAAATAAGTACATTTTTCATCATAAAATCGATAAATCTCTTCATATACACAATAAGGCTTTGTCTGTGCTCTTTCCATTTAAAATTAGTGGCTACCACTGCATTTTAATCATGATGCAAACAAAGATGCTGCATACATGCAACATGAGCAGTTTTTAATCTAAATTAGATTGTATAATTTTGGAAATTTGAAGCAAAAACAGAATGGGTTGACTTCAGTTTTGTGAAACTATACATAAAAAATATCTGCATGAAACAGAAACAGCAGACGAGCTGAATGAGACACAGGTTCACTCTCTGCCAGCACTTAAAGTGTTTCCTTGTTTTCCGCTGTAAACAAAGCAGTGCTGCAGTTATGAACTTTATTATGCAATATATAAAAAAATACCATCTAAACTTTTCTAAAGACAGTAAGTTCCCCTCAGACATACATTCATATAAACTCCTACCCCTAATTGAATCTAATTGTCACATATTTAAATCGATTTTCAACCGGCTCGTGGTTAATCGTTACATCCCTAATTTCAATGCAAACAAATGTGTCTCCGTTCCTGATATACACTACTGTTAAAACTATTTGGATCGTAAGATTTCTTATAATTAATTTTAAAAAATGACATGGCGTGATCAGTTTTTAAAGTCTTATTGACCCTAAACTTACTGACCCTAAACTTATGAAAGTTACTATTTCATACTAGTTGTTTTATTATGGTTACAAAGATCAGCAGTGCTTTGGTCCTCTGCTAAATGAGAACACTACGTGTGTATGTGTTTATTCATACAGTCATGTCTAGCTTTTAGTGAATGCATATACTTAGAGATCACGTGATAAAAGTCCAGCTTTCATTTTCACTTCCCCTACAAATCACCTTACAGTAATAGGATGTTGCAGTTTGCATGCAATTTCATATTTTAGCCCTAAGGACCTCTGAATTAATGAACGTTGAAAATCATAAATAGAAAACCTCTCAAAGCATTTCATGTTTATTAGACCACTCAGAGTGCACTCCATAAATTTGTTTCATTGTAGCTAAGCTAAGCTGGCTGTGAATAAATGTTTTCAATGAATCTGGAAAAAATGCCGTCTATTATTCTATGCTGGAAATGACTATAAATACCAGTTTAATTATGTTGGGGTTTTCATTTTAAATGCTAATGCAAAAGTGTTGACTTTCGTGTCTTTACATCCAAATTGTGATTTAGCTCTTGTACCAAGCTTAAAGGGTTAGTTCACCCAGAAATGAAAATTAGCTTGTGTTTTACTCACCCTCGAGGCATCTTAGGTGTATATGACTTTCTTCTTTCAGACGAATCCAGTCGGAGTTATATTAAAAATTGTCCTGGCTATTCCAAGCTCTATCATTGCAGTCAGCGGGTGTTGCAGTTGAACAGTCCACAAGTCGTCAAATAAAGTGCGCGCATCCATAATAAAACTTGCCTCACACGGCTCCGGGGGGTGACTAAAGGCCTCCTGTAGCGAATCCATGTGTTTTTGTAAGAAATATATCCATATTTGAAACGTAATAAACACTTTTCTCTCACTTCCGGTATCTTTCATACGCGGAAGCCGTTCTGGCGAATGACGTAGTACGTAGGCGTTGCGTGATTAGTGACGAATGCGGAGAGAGAACAAAACAAAACGCTGGTCACGAATTAGAAGTACAAACTGAGGATTTTAAAAGAAATCCTTGAAAAAAATGTTGGAGGATTTCGATATAAACCAAGAGGAGACTGGTTTTCCTTTGCTAAAGTAAGGAAACTTTGCTTCCTTTGCTCCTGTAAACAAACTCGCGAGACTGGCGTATCTCAGCGCGCGCATATGTCATACGCCTTCCGCGAATGGCAGATACCGGAAGTGAGAGAAAAGTGTTTACTACGTTTGAAATATGGATATTTTTCTTACAAAACGCATGCATTCACTACAGGAGGCCTTTATTCACCCCCGGAGCCATGTGAGGCACGTTTAATTATGGATGCACGTGCTTTATTTGACGACTTGTGGACTGTTCAATTGCAACACCCGCTGACTGCAATGATAGAGCTTGGAATAGCCAGGACTAGGACTGGGCGATAAAATGGTATCGATATTTATCGACGGTACACCTTCTTCGATATCGATAGAAAATGTTTTCGATATAGCGCACGATATAGGCACGTACTATGAGTGAGGCAGACAGCACACACAAACACATGCTGAAATGAGTGCTGTGCCTGCCTGTGATGAGGAGATTGTGAATAAACAATGAATATTAGTCGAATTTAAAATAAACATTTGCATTTGAATGTTAGGTGTGCATCAGGGAGCGTCATCGAGAGCGAGATGCGGTGATGATGTAAGTGACGTTGTTGCATTTGAATGTTTTGTTAGTCTAGCCCACGAGACGCGCCGCTGCTGCGTTATTCACTCAAAATATTAGAGAAATATAGAAGCTCAATGCGGAGAAGATCTTGAATGGGTTAAAACTGAAACCAATCCATTCACACAGAACACATATTCAGTGCATTTTTTAGACGGACAATATGACTGCTGCACTCGCGTCACAAGAGATGTATAGAAAGCCATGCAAAGTTAAAAGAGTTTAAACTTTTAGAAAACACGTCATGAATTTGTGGAGGGTTTATTCCTTTTCACTGCGTCTCATATGTTTTTAAATGCAGTCTGTGTGAATGGTGCCTCAGCTCTTTGGATTAAGCAATGCATAAATACATGATGCTGTTTTGTTCTGTTGCGTTGACAATTTAAATGCTTATTTTGTTCATTGCGCCCTCCTGTGGCCTCGGGAATCAATTAGACTTATACAATAAAGACCTATTTAATCTGCATATAAAACATTAGAAATTAGATATTTGTTTAATTTTTATAGTGTTTGATTGTTAAAACAAAAAATATTAGTTTTTTGTCTCAATAAATTGTTAATTATAAATGCAGTGGTTAAATTAAAAAAATAATAATTCTATTGCTTTTTGTTTTAGAAAAAGGTAATAAAAAATGTCAATAATTATCGATAACGAACGATATGAAACATAATATCGTTGATACATTTTTTAGCTATATCGCCCAGCCCTAGCCAGGACCATTTTTAATATAACTCCGACTGGATTCGTCTGAAAGAAGAAAGTCATATACACCTAGGATGCTTCGAGGGTAAGTAAAACACAGTCACATTTTCATTTTTGGACGAACTAACCCTTTAAGCATTTCATTTTGCAGTGCAGCTGAGACTGAAATAAATTCAGGGCCACTCTCCCACAGAATTGTAGACGATTGTCTGTCATGAACAAGCCGTCTCACTCACACAGGAGTCATGTGCCTCTCATCATTGTCCAAGAATACCGCTCTAGTTCGCTGCAACAAGAGGCCCAAAATCACAGATTTTTTTCTTTCTATCTTTTTTTTTTTTTTGGTAGAAACTACATGGTACAGGTGCTGAACCTGGAACAGGGACCATCTCCCCCAGTGAAGTGAGTATGTCAGATGAAGGAGGCGGGTGTGCAACTGTGTGAACGAGCCTCCATCACCTTTCAGAGGCCGAGATTTTCACCCCTCTCTTTTTCGGGATGCGGCACACGCTGTTTCTTGTCCACTGCTTTTTTTCCCCATTCATATCCACTGTGAATCTTTTCTCTTTTTCCTACTGCTGCACTTCTCTAATACAACACCTTTTTTGTCTGTAAGCATTTTTATAAAGATTCTTTCCTCTCTTTCCAGTGGCTGTGGTCAAAATCCAATATTTTTTAAGATACTAGACTTGATAGATTGAAAGGACCACCAGAAGGCTTTTGTCTTGCACTATAGCAATCTTCCATTTCATTTCTTTTTGCGCTTTTTAGAGTTAATTTGAAAAGAATTTTTTTTTTTCCTTTCATCATATGTCGCGAGTCAAAATCTGCTGGCGCAATGCAAATTTTAATTCAATTTCCTCTCATGGCTCTTAAGACGTCTCCACTTCGCTATTGTTCATGACCTGTCTCCCTGTCTCTTCTATTCTCTGGACCATTCTGCTTTTATGCATATGGTGCTGATCTACAGCATCATCTTCCCCAGTTAATGACTGAGTCTGTTCTCTCCTCTCAGCCACATCTCCTCTAACATCTCTCTATGATTCACTCACTCTGTCCAGGTTTCAAGGCTGCTGCTTTGTGGGATTGTCTCTTTGATCCAGCATGTTACCCAAAAGGCGTTTTTTAAAAGTCAGAGCCGTAGTGCACGTGCATAACTGAATGCAGAATTACCAAGAATGTAAATGCTGCTTGAGCAGCCTAGTTTGATTGTGTTCCTTTGCTAGTACCTGAAAAGGATGGGTTTATTTCATGCATCCATTTCCCTGCTTATCTGAACTGTTCTGTTCTTCGTGTTCTGATCGTGTTGTCCTTTTGTGTTTGTGTTTGTGTGCATGTTGATTTGTGCGCGTGTGTGTGTCGTGTATGTGTATTTTTCCTTCTGACCCTCACAGAGCTCCCAGTACGTCCAGTGCGTCGCTGGTTGCCTGCAGCTCATGCTGAGAGTGAATGAATACAGATTCGCCTGGGTGGAGGCCGACGGAGTGAACTGGTAATACTCACTTTCGCACTAATATGTAGGTCATGTTTTGGGTAATATTGCACATAGTAAACAATACCTAAGCTCTCTTTGTGTTATGGTTATCTTGAAGTATTTGAGGATTTTGTAATTGTTATTTCCAGACCTGGAATTAATCATATTTGTAACAATATTGTATTAAATAATATTTAATATTAAATGTAATGTTTTAGATCATAGAAATGCACTTCAGTTTGGAGTAAGATTCTGACTTTAGAGAGAAGTCTCTTATGTTCACCAAAGATCAAAAATACAGTAAAAACAGTAATATTGAGAAATATTTTTGCAATTTTAAAATTAAAGGATTTTAGCAAATGGCTGCAATATAACAAAGAGTGAAAAATTTAAGGGGGTCTGAATACTTTCCGTACCCACTGTATTTAAAAATATTATTTATGTATTTTTTCTTCAGTGTCACATGGTCCTTCAGAAATCATTCTAATATGCTGATTTGGTCCTCAAGAAAACTTTCTTTTTATTATCAATGTTAAAAACATTCAAAAGAACAGCATTTATTTGAAATAGAAATCTTTTAGAATATTATAAATGTCTTTACTGCCACTTTTGTTGAGTTTAACGCATCCTTGCTAATAAACGTATTGATATCTTTAAAAAAAATCTTGAGATATACAGTATATGTACAGTATATATTATAAATAAAGTATAAATGATATGTAAAGAATAAATTATTTGTTTGATGTTTTATCATTTAGTTTTTATTTATCATTTAATTAAACATTAATTCAAATATTTAGTTGGCTAGGACTTGCTGTGTATTATTTTTAAAATCTGTAACCAGTAGTCTGGAAGAGTCATAGAATAGGCATGAAAATTGATTGGTCAAATGGAGTAGAAACCCTGTAACACGTTTATTTAAAAAAAAAAAAAATGTTAAGGTTGCAGCACACAATTAACAGTGTGCTCTACTCGCGCTCCTTTTGTGCTCCCCACCCCCTGCCGTATTAAAGAACAAATCGTGTAGAACAAGAAAGCATCTCTCATTGTCCTAGCAGGTTTTAGCCCTGTGATCATAAAAGTTATTTTGTTTTCTAGTGTACAGACAGAGTAAAAGACAGGATAATGAGGCTTCTCTGAAGATAATTTTCTTTTTCTTGCCTCAAGTAAAATTTCTTTCATGTAATGGTCTCATTATTCATCACAAAAATGTGGGCTCTCATTTTCCCCTCATCTCACCCATCAAACCATCAGGGCTAACTTTATGAAGAGCATCCTCTCAGCACACCATTAGGGGCGAGATGCCCTACTGTTTACTAACTTCGACTGTTCTGTCTGTCCATCTTTCAGCATCACGGCAGTGTTGAGCAATAAGTGTGGCTTCCAGCTGCAGTATCAGATGATCTTCTGCGTGTGGCTTCTGGCATTCAGCCCGCAACTCTGCGAACAGTTGCGGCGCTATAACGTGGTACCGGCGCTCTCCGACATCCTCCAAGAGTCTGTCAAAGAGAAGGTCACTCGCATAATCCTGGCTGCTTTCAGGGTATGTGTCATGAAACGAGTCTGCTTCAAAACGCACTCGTTAGCCACCCAGTCTCCTTTCCTGACTTTGTGAATGCAGTAGTGTCAAATTTTCTTTTTAAAATCAGCCTAATGCCTTTTCCGTTTAAAAAAATAATAAAAGCATTAAGCGATTGTCGGACCCTGTTTAGTAGGGCTTCTATTTCAGCCCCCCTAAAAATCTGTGATTGACTCAGCTGCAGTAAACTAATAGGTTATTTCACACTGAAGCCACCCCTGAATCCTCTCAGATACACACTCCTACTCCATCACTCAGCCGCCTGCTTTATATTAGTCAAATCACAGAATAATTTGCAATCAAATATGCCACTGTTACTAGTTCCAAAAATCTGAGAACACTAGCTAAAATGCTTCTATTATGCTTTTTTTTTTTTTTTTAAATGAATACACTTTTATTATTTTTTAATACATTCTTAAATGAATTGTTCACCTAATGGATCCTCTACAAGTGAATGGGTGCCGTCAGAATGAGAATTTAAACAGCTAATAAAAACATCACAAAAGTCCACAAGTAATGTAAGTGACCCACAAGCTACATATTTGTAAGAAACAAATACATCAAGACTTTTTTAAACCTTTTCTTCCAGCTAAAATATGAGTCCTCTATCCATAATATTGCTTCTCTGAAAAAGTCATCTCTCCTAAATCAAGAGAAAGGTTTCAGATTTTTCTAAACAAACACACAGCTTTTCACTTCACAAGACATTAATTGATGGACTAGAGTGGATTACTTGTGGATTATTGTGATTTTTTTTTTGACGGCACCCAAAATTTCTCCTAATCTATTGATGAAGAAACAACCTCATCTGCATCTTGGATGGCCTGAGGGTGAGTATATTTTTGGGTGAACTATTCCTTTAATATATTGTTTTGTTTTGCTGTTTTCATTTCTTAGTATTTCATTTAATTTTCCCCACATTTGCTTATTTAATTAGTGACCTAGAATGACCTTTTTTAAAATTAAACTTTTTATTCCAAATGTATTCAAATTCTTTATTTATTTACAGATCTTTATATGAATTCCAGATTTTTTCAGTGTGTTCTCAGACTTGTCAACCCCACTGAGCATCTACTGATGAACAATGCTGTTTTAATTGGTTTATTTAAAAAAAATGGTCATTAGAGCATAATTTGAACTGTTGTGACCTCTCGCACTTAAAACGTGAAACATTTTTTAAAACCACAGTATATTAAGACACTTGAAAGACACTTAACCCCAATTATGTACAAGGCACCACTGCTGCAATTAGAGTGCTTTAAGGAAATGGATTGCAACGCATCTGTTAAATGAAGATAAGTAAAGGCACCATATAAACATATCTATAAAAGTACTTAATGAGTGATCATTAAGTCTGATGCCAGACTATTTAACTGACTTTAGTTTTTTTGGTGTACAAATAATGAATGAAACCGTGCATGTGCTGAATCCATTACAGATGGATGGGTGTGTCTGTTTTCTCAGTTTTTTTTAGATCAGGGCATTGCTCAGCAGAAGGTGTCTTCTGCAAAGTCCATTAGCGGATCACTCACTCTTTTATTCTGAAAGGATTTAATTTACCCAGAGCTTTCATGATGAATATACTAAGAACCCCATTATTACCTTATTAAGGTTGCAGATTGACAAATGCGCTCATTTTAATCTCTTCCACACTCTAGCATCATCGCCCATTCAGTGCTTGGTTTTTAGAGACTAGAAATGGAAAAAAAAAACTCGTCACCCCCACATTGCCCTTCCTGCTCGTGTTGATCATTTGAATTAGGATATAGTGCTAGCCCAAATGTAGTCCTAAGGCATTTTATCTTCCGTTGGGCTTATTACTTTTCCACTGCCGGCGCATATTTGTTTAATACATAGCCGAGGCACAAAAACAGGCTGCTTGTTACTCTTATTCTGCATTTCATTTTCCTGCACATGGCGTTCATAGTGCAGGCTACATTTAATGTTCAAATTAGCCCTGAAAGCTGGGCTCTGTTGTTGGTATTAGAGTTGTGTAATGAATTCTTTGTCCATGTCGCTGACAGTATTGAATTAGAGTGCAGCACTTCATTCATCTCACCTGCTGAAGAGCTTATTAAGTTGTCCTGACCAGGTATTCTCTCTCTGTGCCTGTCCATGATTACATGGCTTCCATTTTGCAGCTATCAATGGATCTGCCTCTGCACATTTGCCATTATTTATGTTCCGCATTTGCACGCTCTTCCCCACTGTTATATATAGTATTACCTAAAGCAATGCTTTAAACACTCAGGATTGAAGATATTGGTCTGTAGTTTAGCCTAGTTGTGATTCTTTATCCATATTAATCAGCTGATTATTGTAGCTGATCATAGGTCTCTTTTTATTCTTATACAGCAAATATTCTTTATTCTTATTATGTAATCAGCTGCCCAGCTCTTTTCTTTCTGTTCTTGGTATAGAGATCTGATTTTACAGGAATGATGTCACTTGGTCTGCGTCAGTTCTTCATCTATCTATCTATCTGTTTGTCTGTCTGTCTATCGATCTGTCTATCGGTCTGTCTGTCTTTGTTGTTCTGACATTCTATCTAGCATTCTATTTAGCTGTCTATCGTTTTATCATTCTACAGTATCTAACAATCTGTCGCTCTATCATTTTCCAGTTCTCAATCTGAGTGTCTTTTTTAAATGCTGCTAAATAGAACATTATTTTGTGTATTTGGTGTAATGAAATGTGTTTGAGGTTTAAGGTTCAAAAAACACATTATTTTCTACATACTGTACATTATTGTTTCTCCTCTATGTCCCGCCTTTCTGAAACGCGTCGATTTTTACAAAGCTCATCGGTCTGAAAAAACAAGGTGTGCTCTGATTGGCCAGCTTTCCAGTGCGTTGTGATTGGCTGAATTCCTCAAGGGTGTGACGGAAATGTTACGTTCCTTACCATATTGTGATTCCTGCGGCAACCACATGTGATGACCCCAGGGCTTCGTCCACGGTGAAAACCGATCCGGCGATCGACAGTGCAAAGTTGAAGTATTTCCTCAGCGACCAGCAAGTATCAGCTATCTTACTCTTTTGGAAGTCCAAACAAAGTAGTTTTGCTTTCACAATGAAGCACACAGCGCCTTCACGGCATGGCGGCGGTGGCAACAATACTACAGCGAGAACAAAAGTTATGCCTTCTTTCTTTGCGTGAACATTTGGGCAGCGTTATGCAAATTTTCCCAGATAGTGACGTAGGTATGTGGGGGCGTGTTAGAACGAGCCGTTTTAGGTAGGCGTGGCTGACTCTTAATAAAGAATATCTCTTTGGATTTGAGACTTTAGTCTTTGCAACTTTACAGATCTTCTTTATGCACCAAGAGCTTGTAACACTCCAAAGAGAAAGGAAAAATTGAAATCGCATCATATGACCCCTTTAACAAGTTCATTTACTCATGCCAACGAACCACACTTACTGCTCATTCATCAATGTCTTATTTCCACGGAATGGGAAAGCAGTGTGTAAGTATGCATAGATGCAGAATGTCACAGAGGAAGGTGTAGGGCAGCACTGTGCTAACAATCCATCATCTTGTTTACTGCAGCTGTACATTGGGCTAATCAGATTTCTGACCCGTTCACCATGATTTATTATGTGTTGCAAAACAAGCATTATAAGGCCAGAAATTGTGTTACAAATGTATAAAGAAAGCTTCCTCTTTTGTGTCAAAGAATAGTCACATGGTATTGGGTGCATCTGGAAATGGATCTGATTAAGGTTGTCACTCGCTGTATATTGTAATGAGAAAGAGAATGAGAAAAGCTATGAAGCTTTTGTTTGGAATGGAGAAATGTGTCCCGACTACATAAAAAATGTATGTTAGTTTGCAGCAGGACTGCCAATACCAAGACCTGTCAGACTGTCTTACAGCAGTCCGCAATGAAACAACGTTAGACTGCTACAAATTAAAATGCCAGCACTGTTCATCGCCTCTTCAAAATGCATTACTATTGTAATTCAACACTGCAGCTATCTCTCTATTAGGAGTCTGTCACTGCCTCTTAATATGAACTCTTCTTTTGCAAGCTTACTTACTCCTCTTTTATATCTTTGCTGTCCTTCATACATTCAACACCATGACATCCTTCCGTCTGGACAGCTGAGCGTTCACTGACTCTAATTGTTCAATTTCGTCAGGGGCTTTATTGTATAATAATGTCACCATTCCGGTGATTAAAAGCTGCTTGGAAGCAATGAGATGCCTAATTATTACTTGGTTTCTACCTCACTAGCCTTAAATTGAAGTGTCTCCGTAACAGTGATTCAGGCCCATTCGAAATGAAATCTGGTTCTGTTTCATCAGTAATCAATACTTCACCTGTTTGAGAGCTCGTCTTCTTAGGCTGCTTGAGTGGAATGAAATTTATGTACCACCTTGAGTCTATCAACCTACAGTTAAACTTTATTAAACCAGCAGACATGAAAGGAAAATATGATTCATTTATTAATTTCCTTTCTTTTTTTATACATCTGAGCATTCTCATGTCCATTAACTGATGATATTTTTTAGAGTAGCAGCATGAGTTGATTTGATATTTCACCCAATTTGATCTAAGCTATTTAACTTGATGACTACCGGTAGCATCTGGCAGAACAACTTGAGAGGAATTTTCCAGTAAGGCCAGAAAGGGCATGTTTTCAAGACTTGTAGGACAGTTTTCAAAGAGCAACACCTAATTTAGTACAGCTAAGAGCAAAGGGTTTTAAAAAGGAAGCCAAAGCTTATGTTTGCATTTCCTGCCAAATGAGCCATGTCCATTAAGACCGTAATGAATTCTGAGAAATAAAAGCACTCTTATTCAAATATGGCATGTTCATTTCCTCTTCAAGTCACATTGCTCAGTGCAGGGGTTCTTTTTTTTTTTGGTTGTCGAAAGGGGCCGTGTCAAATGGGTACAGGTAAAACATCTTTTCTCACACTATGTGCTTGAACAAAGCTTTCCTTAAGAGTAGAAATGGTGAATGCATATTTAAAATTTAAAGCACTGACTTTATCTTTACAACAGTCTCGACAATTCAAATAGTAATTTTTTCCAATGCTGTGCAGTATCTTTCTTGCTGGAAAATAGTCTTGAATTTACTGAATCATTCGACTGCAAAAGGCAAGGACAGGACTTTAAGATCCAAATGAGCTATTCAACCACTGTTGACCTAAAATTTAAAAGTTCTTCGAAGATATATTTGAAAATATATCATCTTTATTACTATACACCATGGTAACATGGTATCCACCTTCAAATGAAAATGGTTGTTATAATTTAAATGTTGTGACGGATATCTATTTCTGAATTACTGCACTACGTATATCACAATGTATATTTGAAATAAAGTAATGTTTAAATATGATTGATTTCATTATAGACATCCAATTAAATTGTGCTTGGATTATTTTCAATACTCTTAGTACTTGTTATCCACTTGAATTTGTCTACAGTAACACCATTAACATGTTTGATGTTTGTTCTTTGCTGAAGAACCTGCTAGAGAAGTCCGCTGAGAGAGAGACCCGTCAGGAGTACGCTCTTGCCATGATCCAGTGCAAAGTGCTCAAACAGCTGGAGAACCTGGACCAGCAGAAATATGATGATGAGGACATCACTGATGACATCAAGTTCCTCCTGGAAAGACTGGGCGAGAGTGTTCAGGATCTCAGGTAAAGCCCACATACTCTCTCAACATGTTTTCAACAGGTTGCTTTTTCCTCATGTTTATACTGCTTTCCTTCTTCCTCTTGCAGTTCTTTTGATGAGTACAGCTCTGAGCTGAAGTCTGGCCGTCTGGAGTGGAGTCCAGTGCACAAATCAGAGAAGTTCTGGAGGGAAAACGCAGTTCGCCTGAACGAGAAGAACTACGAGCTGCTGAAGTAAGAAGCATCTGGTGTTAGGATTAGGGCTGACCAGTGGGTTGTTGTATAACTTGCTGCAGTGTCAACCAGTGGATAGTGACACTGGCATTTAAAATGCAACATTATTCTCAAATGCGCTATAACTGGTAATAAAGAGGGAAAGATCACTTGCCATTTAGCATCTACAGCGTTCAGTCACACCAAATCATAGAAAATCACATTTATTGTCTGAGTTTTGAATTTGAGATTGAAGCTGAAATTTGATAAAAAATAACAAAACAGCCAAGTATTTTTTGTCTTTCTCCACAAATGCTTAATTGTGACTTCCACTCCAGCTGACTGTCACATATAATTTAACGGTTTAATTACCGGTTGAGTGACAATTGTTAACAAGTGGCCAATCATAATTTACAGTTGTAGTGATCCATTTTATAATATTTGCTTAACTGATAGTTTTTATTTATTTTTTTTACAGACAAATACACCGGTCTTGTCCTGTTAAAAAAAGAAGCACATTTACTTAAAGCACAAACTTGTATAAGATATTAAGACTTGTTTTCAAAATGTTGTCAATTTATGGTTGACAGAAAAATCTGTTTGCCAGTTTACTCCAAGAAAACTTAATTCAAGATACAGTGGCTGCAAAAAAATATTTGAGTGCTTGTGATTTCTCCATTTCCCTCTCTGTTCCCACCATTATTTCTAGCGCTCTCTGTACTCTCCTCTTCATAAAACAGTAACAAAGGCCATAAATAAAAAAGAAAAAAAGATGATTAAGAATATTGTAATGTGAATGTGGCTGCTTTAAAACATACATGCTGTGTGAATTGATATCATTCACACGTGTGAACAGTCATAATGAATGTTTTCAGTTCTCCCTGCTTTTAGAATAAAAAGCTGTAAGCAGGGGTCAAGTGTTCAGAGAGGGACTGAAATGATTTTTGCAGTATTGAGCAAATGGGTAAATTAGTGTTTTGAACCTACGCTACTGTTTTTACACAAGTTGTTTTTACTGTATGAAATCACATTGTTCCTCTCCTCCCTCTCTCGCACAAGTTGAAAGCAAAGCCAAGTATCAGTGGTTGAAACTCTCCTTTTCATTCTCTCTCAGTAGTTTAATCATGCGTCAGCTCGACCCTTTTGACAGCTCCGTTTAAATCCTAATCTACTCGTCTCATTCCTCTCAGCACAAGGCTCCATTTCAGCCCTCAGCTATTTGTGTTTTACTTCAGTTCGTCTCTCTTTTTTTCCTTCCATCTCTTGCTCTCAGTGTGCAGGTGATTTGTAGCACTTGAAGCCTCTCTCTCCATTCTGCACGATTGTTATAATTTCACGCTTTCATGCAATAGAGACCCGTCTCATACTTGACATTGTTTTTGAGCAGAAATAGATTGAAACTATATTCCCCAGAGCAACAAGCTTCTTGCTCACTACAAAGTAATTTTCTTAAGCAGTATTTTTGTTGAAAATATCTCAACATCCATCAAAAATACTTGAGAAGATGTGTTTTCAATAATATATGATGAATTACAAAGCATAAATCTCACAGAATGTATATTTCTATTCAGCAAGGATGCATTAAAATCAGCATATGTGACCCCGGACCACAAAACCAGTCATAAGGGTCAATTTTTTTAAATTGAGATTTATACATCATCTGAAAGCTGAATAAATAAGCTTTCCATTGATGTATGGTATAAAGTTGTCCAAATTAAGTCCTTAGCAACACATATTACTAATCAAAAATTAACTTTTGATATATTTACGGTAGGAAATTTACAAAATATCTTAATGGAACAGGATCTTTACTTAATATCGTAATGATTTTTGGCACAAAATAAATAATTTTGACCAAAAAAATATATTGTTGATTATTGCTACAAATATACCCATGAAGAATGATTTCTGTAGGATCATGTGACACTGAAGACTGAAAAATGTCTGCTGAAAATTCAGCTTTGCATCACAGGAGTAAATTACATTTTAAAATATATTTAAAAAGAAAACAGTTATTTTAAATTGTAATATTTCAAAATACTATGTTTTTACTGATCAACTCACTTCTTTCAAAAACAATGAAAAAAATATAAAGTTTTTTGGGCCCACTGTATATTTTCTGAAAACGAGCCATTATTCTTTTCTATTAAATGTATCTGGTTGATGTTTAAATCTTTTTATTCGAAAACAAGGCAAAAATACTGTTTAAGGAAACCTTTTTTTGCAGTTTTCCCATATTTGTTTCTTACTGAGCTAACAGAACCTTTAATGTTTTCCTGGACTGTGGTAGACACCGCATCTCCAGCTGTACAGTACCCTGGGATATATTTGCTCAGCGTGGGTTTAGTGTTGCCCTGGAGGTGTTACTGATTGCTTTTGGGGACCTGAAATGATTGTGTGTTTGTGCTTCCTGCCAGGATACTGACCAGGTTGTTGGAAGTGTCTGATGACCCTCAGGTTATTGCCGTTGCAGCTCACGACGTGGGGGAATACGTGAGACATTACCCTCGCGGCAAGAGGTGAGCGAGTGTCCTTCATCCTTCATCCATAAATGACCATCTCTCCGACTCTGCGGCCGTTTCTCAGTACCCAAATATCCTGTAGCTCTGTGCGATTATAGTGCTGAAAATCACCCAGGTTAGAGTTATTACCATCTGTGGCAACTGCTTGCATGCGATGATATCAGTGTCAATTTACACTTACATCACTTCAAAGAGAGCAGCATACTAACTCGTCCAGGCTGACCTATTGCAAGAAATTGCCCAAGCTTGCCATTTATATTGTCGGCACGTAGCATTCATGATCGGCCAATCAATTTTAGACTTAAGAACGCTATATATAGTTTTCCTCTAAAAGTAGAGAGATCCCTCAATCGTGTCCAACTCCGCTGTGAGTGGCTAATACCCTCTCTAATCCAGACCATCCTCCCCCTGAGGTCAGCCACTCACAACGCACAGTCTCGCTTTCCTCTTCAGAACGCCCCCCATCGTTCAAAGAAACTACGCTGAATCTATAGGGACTCATTGGTTTCATCAACCCTGCTCACCCTGGAATTAGACCACTCCAGAACAAATTAGCTTCTGCAGGTGAGCAGATGTCCAAAAGAATTGCATTCAGTTCCGACAAGTGCAGAGATATTGCTATCTATCTGTCCTTCTGTCGTTCTATCTGTCTGTCTGTCTGTATCTATAGTATAAATCCCACAGACGGTCCTCAAGTGGGAGCATAATGGTTTTGTCAATAATATTTCTTACAGAAGGCAGCATTTTTCTACCGTGAGCATTTCAGATCAAGTTCAAAATGACTTTAAATGGAAAATTGTAAGTGCCATTGAGCAGTTCTTAGAAAGCGCTGTTAGATAAGAGAGTCTGATTATGGAACCTTATAAAAATGCAGCTCGGTATTTGTGGATGCTTTAATAACAGCTCTAATAATTTCATTTATTTCAAAAGGATTCATTTGTTGACACTTTCCCTCTGAATATTTCTAGCTGCATCAACGAATCAAGTCCAAATTGACTGTGTGAAATTTAACATATTGTGGTGTAACAAATATGATTTTAATGGGTTTTTTTTATTACATTATCAAATATAAAATTTCCTAAAATGTTAATTTATGAATTGTTAATTCTCATTTATGTATTCATGTATGTATTTATTTACTTGCATACAACTTTCTTAAAATGGCATCCTAGCATGGCAGTGGCAAGTTTTGCAAGAATGTTTTCCGTCACATTTTTTTAAATTTTTTTAGAAAATGTCACATTCACATTTTGTCACATTTTCTTTGGAAATGTTTTTATTTAAAGATAAGGACTATTTGAGCTGATGAAGGCTTTTTGAGCTTTGTGATTTTGTTGCACTGAAATGCCTTTTTATTTTAATGATTGGAATTGCCCAAAATAATTCAGCTGTTGTTCTCGGTTATTCCCAGAGTTAAATTGAAAGGCATAGAGGCCCTGTGTTATTACCCATCTTGCAGAACATAATAATCTGGAACTGCATCTCTCTGCTTCTCTGTCCTTTAGGGTGATCGAACAGCTGGGTGGTAAACAACTAGTGATGAACCACATGCATCATGAAGACCAGCTTGTCCGCTACAATGCCCTGCTGGCTGTTCAGAAGCTCATGGTGCATAACTGGTACGTTTAACTTCATATGCATTAATGAATTTAAAGGGGTCATATGACGTTGCTAAAAAGAACATTATTTTGTGTATTTGGTGTGATGAAATGTGTTTATGCGGTTTAAGGTTTAAAAAACACATTATTTTCCACATACTGTACATCATTTTTGCTCCTCTATGCCCCGCCTTTCTGAAAAGCGTAGATTTTTACAAAGCTCATAATTTTGAAAAGTGAGGTGTGCTCTGATTGGCCAGCTATCCAGTGCGTTGTGATTGGCCAAATGCCTCAAGCATGTGACGGAAATGTTACAGCCCTTACCATACTGTGATGCCGTGTCCCGGAGCGATGAGACAAAAACATTAAAACCCATTATAAACTAGGCATTTGTAGCATCCAGTGGGGACATAATTACGGATTGTAATGACTTATTAGGGGTTGAACGACTTCTGATTTTTTGGAGTCGACTTTTATGTGATGAAAGTCGAGTCGAAGTCGACTAGTCGCTGATGACGTCATTAATGAACAAATAAGTCTGGAGCTGTGATAAACACCTTGTGCACAGCTATGGCATGTGACACAGAGCTGCCCACACGGCTATTGCTCCTATAACCGCTTTTTTATCAGTTATTTTGTATCTGGGTCGTTATATTTCTCACAGATTTCTGCTCATTCTAAATCAGATACAGATAAAGTAACACAGTAAAGAGTACATTAATAAGAATGCATTAGTGAGAGCGATTGCGTGTAAGAATTAATTCTACCTGGCAGCGTCTCTCTACTAATAGTGAAGCACTGGAATTTAGTTAAGAAATATTCTCCCGTTCAATTTCGAGCATCCAGTAATATAATCACACATGTCTTGTGGAGCGCTTTCAGAGTATGCATTTATTTGTCATTTGAAATGTTTGGAAACTGAGTGTAAATGTGGAAGTCCTTCAAAGATTTTTTTATTCTGTTGCGCCCTCTATAGGACCAGCGACTAGTCGATGTCAAGCTTAAAGCGTCATGGCAGAGCATTGAAGTCGATTAGTCGGTGCAACCCCTATGACTTATACTGTCTTTTTACGCGTTGCGTTTGTATCGAGCCACGTAAACATAAAACCATGTCTGCATTTGTGATCGGAGAAACGGCAAACAACAAGTGCTACTCTACACTGCTCAAAACTCACGTTTGAATCATCAGTGGCAAATCCTTTAAATATGAAAACGGACTTACAGGCTGCGAGTCAGCATTATTTGTCAGAACACCGGCATTGTAGGCTACTCTCCCAGGAAACAGTCCTCTTCCTCTGTAAAATGCATTGCACACATCTGAATATTTAGTTTGAACTGTTCTGGAACAGTGTTGTAAATACAACTTAACCACTGATTTCTAGTTTTGTCCTCTTTTGGAAGGCCAAACAAAGTAGTTTCGCTTTCATAACGAAACACACAGCATGGCGGTGGCGGCAGCAACAATAGTACAGTGAGAATCAAAGTTATGCCTTCTTTCTTTGCGTGAAAATTTGGGCGGTGTTATGCAAATCTTCCCACACAGTGAAGTAGACATGTGGGGGCGTGTTTAAACTAGGTGTTTTAGGAGGGTGTGGACAAATCTTAACTTTTATAAAGAATATCTCTTTGGGTTTGAGACTTTAGTCTTTGCAACTTTAGGGATCTTATCTATTCACGAACAGCTTGTAACACTCCAAAGAGAAAGGAAAACTTGAAATCGCATCATATGACCCCTTTAAAATTTATGTTCAGCGTTTATTTATTGCATGTTGCCATTATTTATTTATTTATAGGATATTCCCACAAAACTTTTGATCTCTTTAACCTAACATCTTCACAGCAGTTCTGATTGTTGTATTTATTCCTCAAGCAAAACAGCCCCAGTGTTTGTGCCTGATGCAACATTTCCCTCAATAATGACCTGGAATAGAGCTTTCTCCTAATCTCTCTTTGCCACGCAGTAGTCATTTTCTCACTTCAGCATTGCATAATATAATGCATTATTCAGTGGACCATTGTGTCTTTTCAGCATTAGTTGATCTTTGATTAAAACCCAGGGCACAGAATAAGTAGAAAAAAAACATGATTAACTTCTCCAAGCATGTTCGATGTGTTTGTCAGAGCGACAAACTGTTGAATCAAGGCTGACGAGGCACTGGCTCAGGTTCAGGTAGAACAAACACCTACCTGAAACTTATTTTTGTGTCTGCATTCATCCTTAGGAGCTTCAGATTACTCTTTAAACAGGGATGATAAACCTCAAAGGCCCCGGCACACAGCATGCGTGTTTAGAGCACAATAGACGTCTACTGGTGTACATTCAGTGGTGTCATGAAGAGTAATTGTTCGCTGTCAGCGTTTCATTACAGTGGCTTTAAATCAGCCTTCAAATTGAAAGTTTAGCGCCAGATTGAGCAGAATACAAGTCGCTTTAAATGCTGCCTGAGTGGTATAGTTCACTCCTGCAAAGGGAGAATGCGCTCCATAAAGTTCCGACTCTGACTCCATCTCCGAATAATTCATCTTTATCATCGGCCACACTGCAGGAGATAGAAATTTATGGAGGCCGATGCTCAGGGAAGAATATATATATTTATATATATATATTATATATGAGATCATTTCAACAGCTCTTTCATTTCCTTGCTTAGAAACTGTTCCGTCTGCTAATTCTGACTCAGTGGATCGTGGCAATTATTAGCCATTAGCTAAATGGCTCACATGTAATTTTCAGGTTTAATTGTGCATAAATTTGAAGCGGTTTGACGTAAGGCTTTGCATGTCACCACCAAAAAGAAGGATTAAAAAGCAAGCAGAGCAGTAAGTTTTGATTGTTCTTGGGAATAATGTAATGGTTGCATCTTGGTTCAAGCCTCTCAGATACAGACCCAGAGTTAAAAGGGAACTATTAAAAATGGCAATTGGGCTGAAGAGGCAGAGAGTGCATGTATTATATGAAAATCTGAAGGGAGGTGAAGGCCAACTCTTATTTGTATTCTTAATTGGAGGAGGAAATTACAGGGGATGTAATAACCGTATGATTGAGTTAAGATTTGGTGACCGTGGTTTTCAAGTTTCTCTTAAGAAGAGCCATAAAAGGCCTTTCACAGCCTCTTCTCAAACGCCATCTTTGCAATCCAGTTGCATCCACGACTGCCATTTCCTTTTGCTGTACTCTTCTCGAGAGATTTTTTATATTGGAGAGGTATGTCTACTGTTATCTAGCATGGTTTTGATATGTTTCATAGAGGAACATCTAGCTTCCATGGCATTTTTTTGATGTAGAGCTTTTTATACTCCGAGTTGGATACAGAAAATAACTAAAAAAAAAAAAAAAAGCATGTGTGCGTATGGTTTATTTTCCCCTTGAGAGATGTGGTGCTGCCATCACACTATGGCTGTTACTTTTTTCCCATTCTCACTCCATAGAGACTGTTTGGTGTCATGGCAACAGCCGGAGGAGAAGATGTTGTAGTTGGCACAGTTCTAGATGGCCAACTTTGCACGCTGTTAGCTTATTGTATCTGTACCATCTGGGTTAACCCCTGGAGTTGTGCCGCTGTGCGTGTGTAGAAATTCAGCCAGCGGCTCCGCAGTCTTGAGATGTTGGATGACACCGTGTTTAATCAATTTTTTTTTTCATGTTTGTTTTGCACAAGCCTTTACGCACTTAAGGACTTCATCTGCGGTCTGTCTGATGCAGCTTAGCATGAAATCACTCAGATGTGCTTCGCTGTTATGAAACTTAATTTTATTCGGAAATGAAGTCCTAAATGGAATAACAGAAAAATTAAGTTCACTGCAAAACAAGACCAAAGATGATTACACCTTTGCTATGTTATGTGCATCATATCTTTATCATTTAGAAATAATTTATACAGTAAATGTGGAAAAATCTGAAGAGAAAATGTGTAGACATCCAGGTTTAAGACATTATATTATTTTATAACAGACACACACTATCAAGATAGATGTGGAGAAATGTAAAATAAAATGGCATAGACATTCAAATTCAAGACATTATATTACATGCCCTTTTTAAAATGCCCATTTTCAGTTTGAGTATATTTATTATATTTTATAATGTTAATTTCTCTGATGACAATATTTTCAGCAGCCATTACTCCAGTCTTCAATGTCACATGATCCTTCAGAAATCAGTCTAATATGCTGATTTGGTACACAAAAAACTAAATTATTAATTCAAATTTTAACAAATATTAATAAAAATATTAATTCTAATATTTGTGACTCTGGACCACAAAACCAGTCATTAGTAGCACGGGTATATTTGTAGCAATAGCCAACAATACATTGTATGGGTCAAAATTATAGATTTTTCTTTTGTCAAAAATGATTAGGATATTAAGTCTATAGTAAGTAATCTTGTTCCATGAAGATATTTTGTAAATTTCTTACCAAAAATATATCAAAACTTAATTTTTGATTAGTAATATGCATTGCTAAGAACGTCATTTGGACAACTTTAAAAGGAGATTTTATCAGTATTTTGATTTTTTTTTGCACCCTCAGATTACAGATTTTCAAATAGTTGTATCTCAGCCATATATTGTTCTATTCTAACAAACCATGCATCAATGGAAAGCTTATTTGTTCAGCTTTCAGATGATGTATAAATCTCAATTTTTTGAAAAATTGACCCTTATGACTGGTTTTGTGGTCCAGGGTCACATATTGTTTATCCAGCTGGGCTCAGGCATCTTGTCCAAAACTTGTACAGACAGTATACTGTACAAACAGGCTTTAAAGGTGCATGTAAATGTAAAACCTGTCACTCATTTAGTGTAACCTTAAAATCATGATTGAAAAATTCTGTTAGAATCTGAAAATTTAAAAGAGATTACATTAGCAAATTTGCTGTAATAACTAAACTGGCACATTTACAGGAACATTTAATAATGTGCTCTGGCCCTTTAATTCCAAATGGAATAAAGTATGCTTAGATATTTATTAATATTTATTTTAGTACTATTTCTAAAGACTTTATAATATTCCTTAAC